TCTCGTCGAAATAGGTGGCGAACGGCTCATCGCTGGACTCCGGCGGCTGCTGCGCGACCGCCGTGCTGTAGATCGTGCTGATGGCCTCGCTGTGGTCTTCGGGGATTTCCTCTGCATTGACGAAAGGACAGGAGTCAGCACAAGGGAGGCGTCGCTGGTCAGAAATGATGCACGTTCCATTTGAAACCTGCCGCCCGCTGCCTTCCTTTGCCAGGACTGGATGGTCGGGGGGGGGGAGGGGGGAGGAGACTGGGAACACACGGAGGAATGAAACGTAGGGATGGCAAATCCACAGAAAGCAGCGACTGCAAGGACCCAGGGCTCCCCACTCGACACGCGGCAGCTCTCGCGGGAGAGTGAGGCACGGTGGTGGAGGGTTAATTTATTTTGATTTAAAACAGGACGAGGCTGCTCAAGCTCCCAAGGCTCTGGGGGAAATGAAGTTCCGACTCCGCGGCTGCTGGGATTTCACGTGCGAACGCGACTCAGCCTCTCCCGCGCCTTCCTTCAAACCCACCTGAGCCCTCTCAGAACCCCTCCCTGTCTTTGGCGGCACGTCTGGAAGTGCAGCGTGAACCCCTAGGTGCTGCTAGTGCTCTGAATTCAGCGTCCGGGAGGTACAAGGCACCGTTTGTTAGATTTTTGGACGTGAAGGCTCACTTCCCCGCACTCCAGATCCAACAGAGAGCACGCAGCAGACACCCAATCCCGCTCAACTTCCCGGGCAGGATCTGACTTTAGGTTGTAAGTCAGGGACATAGGGTCAGAATTCTAACCAACAACTTTCACATCACGTCCTTTCACTCCACTTCGCACCTCCCCAGCCCCGGACAGAAGCCAAGTCCAGCCCCCAGGTTTTACTCACTCTGGTAACTGCCTCCGGGCATTACGCTTTAGGTACAAGAGATGAAATACAGCATCCAACCTAATCCTGCCTCCTTGGCCGAGGGCAAAAGTGACCATTTAGGACCAGAGAAGTAAAAGCGCAGCTTGGGCTCACTCATGGGCGCTCTCACCGAGTTTCCAGTTGCATCATCAAAGCAACCTGAAGCTGGCTATTCCTCCTCCTCTCCCCGCCTCCCAAGCACTTCACCTGCCTGTCAGCAGGGATGTTTATATATTTAAAGCCACAGCACCTGCCTGTGTTTCTTCGCTCAGTAGCTTTGGTTGCACAACACCTTGCTCAGCTAGTTACACAAAGCTAGGGAAGGGATAGGAACAATCAATCGATTGCGGAGTGGTGCTGGGAAGGGACAGCTTGAGAACTGGCTTCAGCTACGAGTATCACCCGTTTGGAACAGCTCATCTCAAAGGTGCACAGCAGGGGTGGGGAACCTTTTTTGGGTCGGAGGCCGCTGACCCACAGAAAAATCAGTCGGGGGCTGGACACAAATGAGAAGCAAAAAACCAAACAAATCAACCCCTGCAGTGATGTGACCCGCCTCCCCGGCCTCAAAACCCTCCCCACATTCGCCTTGCACCCCGGAGCCTAGGGGGCCCCCACCTAGCAGATTTTATGTGCTCCAGCCCTGTGGTGGAGCAGCAGCGGGGAGGCTGGAGCGCCACCGCGGGCTCCCCCACGCTGTGGGGGCTTGAGGTTCCCCACCCCGTGTACGTCCTACCAGAACAGGTCAGCCAGAAGGTCTTAGTTCTACCAGAGAGCAACCCAACAGATAGAGGCACCCAAATTTCACAGGGAAATGCCCCCCTAAATTCCTTAGTTCAGCTTATTGGGAACACTGCTTCCATCTATAACCTTACCAGTTCACATGAGAGGGATGGAAATTGCATCGAATCAGGAAAAACACTTTGCCTAGAATGACTTATGGTTGTTTTTTATGAGAGTTTTTGCATCTTCCTGCATGGGTTCCCAAACTGGGGGGCATAAAGAAATTCCAGGGGGGGCGCGAAGTGACCCAGTCCCTCCCCTTGTCAATGCCCCCATAAGTTTTGCTGCTATTTTTGTTTTTCAGCCGCGGTCAGTTCCTTTTTTTTCTTCGCTCAACAAGTTTTCCTGCTATTGGGAGGGGCGGGGGAGAGAGGTGAGGGTTTCTCAAAAATCAAAAAGGGGGTGTAATGCCGAAAAGTTTGGGAACCACTGCAAAGGAGTCTGGTATCAGCCACGCCCGAGACAAGGTATTGAGCTAGATGGACAACTGGTCTGATCCTGTAAAACGATTGCTAAGTTCCTAACGTGCACACACGTGTGGAGTGTTACCATATAATATTTTCCGCTCCTTGCCAGGTGCCATGGTGGAGGACCTCTGACTGGAGGGGGAATCCTGAGACTGGGTCACGTTAACTGCAAAAGAGAATGGAAAAGAGCATTGTTAGGGGAAGAATGCGACACACGGACGCTGCATGAATCAGGGAGAAGAAGAAAGAGCAGCTGCAATGTGGACTCTAGAACTAGCAACTTCTAGCAGATTAAATCGCAATCGCAGCACACTCAGAATGTAAACAGCTCTTCCCCGGCTTTAAAAAGGTTTCGCTAATTATTAGAAATAGAGGTTTGCATATGGACCTGAGTCGGAAAAAGCCTGCTTGACGTAAACGTGCTCCTTGGGAACGTAAAATAAGAATCGGGGGGAGGGAGGGAAGCAGGCTACCTAAACTCATTCATGCGAAAATAAGTCCTTACAGTTTCTAGTGCCAGGATTAGTGTTAATTATGACAGACACTTCAACCCCATCGCTGGGGCCTGTTTTAAATGAACAGTATGTGTTAAATTCTGGGGGAGGACAGGGGGTGGGAGGATGGGAAATACTACAGCTCCCACAAAAACTAATCAGTGGGTGCTGATTAAGGCAACTCAACCACGTTACTCCCTCACAGAGGCGCCCCGTCCCAGACAGGGTGACCAAGACTAGTTCAAACCAGATTGTCTAGAGACCAGCAGATTAAAAAAAAGCAACTATAGGTAAACAGCCTGAGTTTAAACTGACTGAAGGCCTTCTTCTTGATCCAGCCATCAAACAAACTGGACCTTCTGTCCAATTTACTCCTTCCTAGGAAGGTCTGGAAGGCCATTGCTCGACACGGGCCCCATACGACTGATGGGTGATCTCCGATAAGCTTAATCGCATGCTTGCAGAGGGTTTTGTTTGGTTTGTTTCTCCATAATGCTGTTACCTTACGAAGAAATGTGCTTGCTTACAAAGAGCTGTGTGGTAACTCCTAATTGCTGGTCATTACATTGGTCACAGCCTTCAAAAGAAAGTAAACGTCAGACACTGGCCTGTTTAGGTCGTCTGGCTTCCTGGGAAAGCAACTGCACAGGCTGGAGAAACCGTGGTCAGGAAGGAGAGAAACACGGAGAGAGGGCAGTGCAGGAACCAGAAGCCCGGGAGGGGGAAAGAGGCACATAGAATCATAGAATCATAGGACTGGAAGGGACCATGAGAATTCATCGAGTCCAGCCCCCCGCCCTCAAGGCAGGACCAAGCTCCGTCTACACCATCCCTGACAGATGTCTATCTAACCTGTTCTTAAATATCTCCAGAGAGGGAGATTCCGCCACCTCCCTTGGCAATTTATTCCAATATTTGACCCCCCTGACAGTTAGGAATTTTTTCCTAATGTCCAATCTAAACCTCCCCTGCTGCACTTTAAGCCCATTACTCCTTGTCCTGTCCTCAGCAACCAAGAGGAACAAATTTTCTCCTTCCTCCTTGTGACACCCTTTTAGATATTTGAAAACCGCTATCATGTCCCCCCTTAATCTTCTTTTTTCCAAACTAAACAAGCCCAGTTTGTGAAGCCTGGCTTCATAGGTCATGTTCTCTAAACCTTTCATCATTCTTGTCGCTCTTCTCTGTACCCTTTCCAATTTCTCCACATCTTTCTTGAAATGTGGTGCCCAGAACTGGACACAGTACTCCAGCTGAGGCCTAACTAGTGCAGAGTAGAGCGGCAGAATGACTTCACGAGTTTTGCTTACAACACACCTGTTGATACAACCTAGAATCATATTTGCTTTTTTTGCAACAGCATCACACTGCTGACTCATATTCAACTTGTGGTCCACTATGACCCCTAGATCCCTTTCCGCCATGCTCCTTCCCAGAAGGGAAACAGCAGATTTGCCCTAAATTGTGACACAAACAGTGAAACCACAGCAAGGAGTTAGGAAAGAGGGGAAATTCTCTTGTGTGTAGAACCAGCACCCATGAATTGAGCTATGGCATACTGAGATTAAGATCATCCTTAGCGCCCAACCATCAGAATGCTCTTCTACCAGACCCCCTCCTTTTGAGGAAGGGGGCAGCGTTTCAGATGAAAGCTGGCAGCCTCCAAATGCCAACTTACAAAAATCCGCAAACACGGATAACACCTAAGCACGGTATGTAAAACACGTACCTGTCCTCGGTTGGATATTAACGTGGTATTTTTGCTCACAATGTTATCTTCCTCAAGTCCATCTTAACAGGGGCATACAAGGAAAAACTTAATTGGCTGTGAACAGTAAGTGAATTTGTGCCCACGTTGAGGTGTTCAAAGCCTAATTACAGTTCACACATTCCATTCTGAACAAATCAGCACAAGAAAACCCACAAGAGACTTTCGGCCTCTTTCAGAGAACACAAGAGACTTCCTGCCTCCTTCAGAGCAATTTACTCAATTGAAATGGCACAGCCCCTGTTCTTTAGAGGGGGCAACTCTACTATTTATCTGCTCAAATATGCTGAAGATTTTAAATGGTTTATTCTAGAACAACAAATGAACGCAGAGTTCTATGTGCTCTATGCACCTCATGGCTCAATGAAATTTGCTACTAAGGATGTTAAAAAGGGTTTATTCCGGTAAACGTGTAACCACTTTTAAGCCAGCTCCTCGGGGAATGAGGTGTAACAGTTAATCCAAACTAAGGATTTAGTTCAGATTAACTTTAAACTGCCGTGTGTAGCCGTGGGCAGTTCGTTTGAACTAAGGGGGATTTAAAAATGGCAGCCGGACAGGAACATGCAAATAAAGCCTAGGATATTTTAATCCTGGGCTTCATTTGCAACTCCGGTTGCCTGATTTGCCTATCTCGCTCGAATTAATAACCTAGTGTAGACATACCCCATTGATTTATCAAGTAGTCGACAGAAATTCCACTGAGTACTCAATTAGCTCACTAACTGCAATTCAACACCCCTATGCAGGACTAGAGAGGTTCAACCTGTATCTCACACACACAACCCTTACAGATCTGAACGCTGCCACAACACAGCATTCTGCTGCAGAGGCTACACTTCTGACCAAGTGTGGTAATTAAAACAGGTGGAAAAGACCACCACTGATCCAATGCCATGGGAAGTACCACCGTCTGCAGCAGCTGCAGCAGCAGCAGATTATGTCAAGCAACAGCAAGATTTAATTCCAAAGAGATTCTTTTAGATCAAGAAGACAGTAGTTCAGGCTTAGACTTAGTTTGCATAAGCCTCCTAGACGGGTTCCCATCTTCAAGGTTAGATCAAACTTTGACCCATCTTAGTTATGGGAGCATGTGACTTATGTTGACTGCTCTTTCAGAACAAGAGCGGCCAATGATTTTTATACTAGGCCTCAAATGTTCCTCGGCTGGTAAAAGCTCAGGATGTTAGATAGCGAGTCATTTAATCAATCGTGTAACCACATCAAATCTTAGCCATAAAAAAAAACAACCCAAACCTTCACTGACGTGGCCCCTGACTGAGGAGAAAGGGACTCCGCACATTCCACTCCCACACCGGATCCTGGGGGGGACCCAGGCTAGTAGATTGTGTGCTCCAGCCCTGTGATTTGGGGGTCTAATCCACGCAAGACAGAGGCCGCATCCAGCCCCTGGGCCTTTGGTTTCCCGCCTCTGTTCTACCGGGTAATAGAGACAGCTTTCAGGTCAGTTTACAGTGGATGTGGTCACTATAAAGTCTAAGGCTCCAAAAGCACCTAAGTGACCAAGAAGTCATTTTTAATGAGAAACTTAAGCGCCTAAGTCTTGCTGACTTTTAATGAGACTTGGGAACTTTTGAAAACTTTATCCATTGATCCACGGAACCCTATTTACAGGGCACAAGCCTTACACGTCCTCCCTTTGGACGTTAAAAGTTTTATAGATTTATTTTTTAGAAGCTGTTCTGCTAAAAGCTCAATTCTAAAACCAAGAAAGAACAGATTCATCAACACATTGCATTTCCCCCCAAGCAAGTTCCCAGAAGGAAGCAAGTGGCTTATTTCTGCAGCAAGTTCTATTAACACCAGCCTCAGAGAGGTTAATGAAGGCAAAAGGGAAGACGATAATCACATGGCAAGCATTCGTTACAGAAAGAGACTGACCTAAATATCTCCTTGCAAAACACATTTCTCTTTGGGCGAGAGATAAACCGGTTTCCTACTATCGCTGCTGACAAGCTACAAGCCCTAGTCCACTTTAAACTCTCCTGACACATCCATTCACCATGCCCATCCGGGCAGCAAACTCTTAGTACACAAGCCTGAAAGCATTGTTCACTGACCTGTTCCATTATTACAGCATACTACTCAAACCTGACGCTGGACCGTTTCCATTCCTCTGTACTAATGTGTGGCACACGCAAGGGAAAGCGTGGAGGAAACACCGTCATATTTCAGGCCACTGCTTCCCACGGCTCCTCATGGCTGCAAACGGCAAAATGGAGTCAACAGGAGCCACGAGGCAGCCAGTTAACACGCTTCTCAAATTGGTTTCGCGGACCACTTTGAGAGACACTGATCTAGACAGTGCTGGGTCCTGCCGTGAGGGCAAGGGACAGGACTTGGTGACCTCATAGACTCATAGACTTTAAGGTCAGACAGGCCCCTGCTCCCCACGGCTCCCCATGGCTGCAAACGGCAAAATGGAGTCAACAGGAGCCACGAGGCAGCCAGTTAACACGCTTCTCAAATTGGTTTCGCGGACCACTTTGAGAGACACTGATCTAGACAGTGCTGGGTCCTGCCGTGAGGGCAAGGGACAGGACTTGGTGACCTCTCGAGGTCCGTTCCAGTTCTAGGATTCTATAAGACCCTCTAGATAAACGTGGTCCCTGCAGAAAGCCACGGGTTTGCTCTCTTAGGTCAGAGGAGTCACTGAAATCACGTGTGGGTTTTATTGTGTGCAGCATTGCCAATAATGCAACACACAGCCACATGCTGATCCCATAAAACTCCCTGGAACTAAAATCAAAAGGTCAGTCAGGCCTGCGAGTGCCAATAAACACAGAAGCAAGGGCAAACAGACACGGTCGAAAGAGCTCTCAAGGAAGGATTCACAGAGACCCTGCACCTACCCTCATGGCCCTGGAAGGAGGAATACATTTTTGAGGCTGATTACTAGACAACGCAGCTCTGTCAGGCATTTCTGATGAAGATGTTTCCTCCCAATTATCTTGTTCTAGAACATGGGTTCCCAAACTGGGGGGCGTGAAGAATTCCCAGGGGGTGCGCGAGGCAACCCCCCCATCAAGTTATGCTGCTCCCGGTCAGTTCCTTTTTTTGGGGGGGGGGGGAGGGTCCTCAACAAGTTTTGCTGTTTGGGGGGGGTGAGGGTTTTTCAAAAATCAAAAAGGGGGCGTGATGCCGAAAAGTTTGGGAACCGCTGTTCTAGAACATGAAGAGCAGCAGCTGGCCTGCACGCCTCCTTGAACTTTAAAAATGCCAACAGGTAACTTCGGAAGATTGTTAACAGCCACACCCTCGAGTCGCCAAGGCAAATACAGAGCCTCTTTTGTTTAGAGTCGACATTCAATGCCTCTGCAGCCAACAGACCATTCTCCTGGACAAACCCGACCCAGGCACACACTTCAGCCCAGCCAGCCCTCCTAGGTTCTTGCAACTCTGCTTCCCAGCAGGGAAGCCTGAACAGCTGATGTCTGCTGGCCAGTCATTGTAAGATAGGGGACTTTTTCAGACAAGGAGAAACCTAGCCAGGTCACAAATGGAGAGCAGGTTACAGAGACTCTTGCTGGTGCTGCGCTTTGATCTGCCCTGGCTCCTGGCCTCATGAATTTCCCACACTGGAGCAGTTGCTGGTTTTTAAGCAAGCTTCAGGCAGATTTGTAGATCCCTCCCCAAAACTCTGACCAGGGCCACATGGTTCATTTAGGCATTTATACTGTGCTCCCCCACAATGGTATCCCAGCCCCTTTCAACGTCATCTCACACCGACATGCTGCTCTTCTTTATGGTCCATTATTTGGACTGTGGTAGCAGCTACAAGCCACAGTAATAGACCAGCACCTTCCTGTACTAGGCCCTGTTCAAACACAGGCACACGAGATGGTCCCTGCCCCTCCTCCAAAGTTTAGCCTAATCCCTTTGGTATTTCCAGTTCGCCATTCTCCCTCTATTAACAACGCTACCCCCACCCAATGTGACCACAGCTTCACAAACTCCCACCTTTCTTTGCCCGTTTTCACCTGGAGAGAGCTCTGCCTAACCCGGAAAGCTTGTCTCTAGTCTCTCGCCAACAGCAGCTGGCCCAATAATAGATATTACTTCACCCACCTCGTCCGGCTAGTAGCTTGGAACCAATACCGCTACATCACTAGACGTTTTCACTAGTCAGTTCTTCTCAACCACCAAGTGATGCAGTCCACATCCGGACCACAGAAATGTCTCTTTCCTCCCCGCAGGGGCTGAAAGGTTTTGCCCTTCCAAAGCAGTTTCTTTATAGCATTCCTCTTGTTATCTGGGCAGTTTCAACACACAAAGACATTCTGATGACCAGAGATAAGGGGGAGGAGAGGGGAGGAGATGAGTCAGCAAGGCGGGGAGGCAGCTGACTATGGGTAAAATCAGCTTCTCTGTGAACAAACGGTTTCAAACGCCCTTGAGGGGGTTTACATTTGCCCCATCTCCAGGTTGCCTCACTTCTTAAAACATTGCCAATACCGTCGACTCTTTCCAGTTCTGAGCAAAACCCATGATCGCCAGGCTCTGAGCTCTTCTGTTAACGTCACAGCTGTAAATTACCAATGGGCCCCATGCAATGGAGCAACCCAGCCCCTAGACCAGGATGATGGTAGTGCAGTTCCAGATTTTGCTAGTCTTTGTGCTAACTAGGGATGTTAAAGTGCGTTTAAGTAATCATGGAACCACTGGCATTTCTCCGCGGTTACACACAGGGCGGCAGTCTGCGCCCCAGATCCGGCGTGCTCAGGGTGCCGGATTTTAAGCTGGTTTCCCACACATACCGGCTCCCGCCTGCCGCCCGTGCCGCTGCACAGGGGAGCAGGCAGCTCCCTGGGAGCTGGTACACATGGGTAGTTGGCTTTTAAATTGGCTCCCCACACATAGCAGCCCCCGCCTGCCTCCCTCTGCACTGCTGCCACTGCAGGATGGTGGGAAGCTCCCCGGGAACCAGTGTGTAACTGTGAATGTTACCCAAAGAGCCCAGGTTAACCGTGTATGTGGTTACATTTCCACGTCCCTCGTTCTAACCAGAATTTTTTTTTTTTTACCGAAGATGCAAGACTATTTAAAAAAAATAATGGGAGGAAAATGGCTGTGATAAAAGAGTCCCAAAAGTGAGAAAAAAACTCTATGGCTACGTCTACACTGGCATGATTTTCCGCAAATGCTTTTTGCGGAAAAGCGTCCGTGCCAATCTAGACGCAGTTTTGCGCAAGAAAGCCCCGATAGCCATTTTCACGATCGGGGCTTTTTTGCGCAAAACAATACCGTGTTGTCTACACTGGCCCTCTTGCACAAAAGCATTTGCCCAAGAGGGCTTTTTCCCAAACGGGAGCAGCATAGTATTTCCGCAAGAACACTGACAATCTTACATGTGATCGTCAGTGTTCTTGCGGAAATTCAAGCGGCCAGTGTAGACAGCTGGCAAGTTTTTCCGGAAAAGCGGCTCATTTTCTGGAAAAACTGGCCAGTCTAGACACAGCCTGTGTGAAATCAGAATACACCGTTAGCTACGTCTACACTGCAGGCTTTTTGCGCAAGAACAGCTGTTCTTGTGCAAAAACTTGTGGAGCGTCTACACTGCATGTGTGTTCTTGCTCAAGTAAATTTAAAGTGTCAGAAAAGAGAACTTCTTGCGCAAGAGTTATTCTTTTCCCCACAAGGAATAAGCCCTCCTGCACAAGAAGGCCGTGTGGACGGGCAACAGGGATTTCTTGCACAAGAAACCCCTATGGCTAAAATGGCCATCAGAGCGTTCTTGCACAAGAGAGAGTGTCCACACTGCCATGGATGCTCTTGCGTAAAAGCACATGCCAGTGTAGATGTGCTCTTGTGCAAGAATTCTTGCACAGAAACTCTTGCGCAAAACAGTTCTTGTGCAAAAAGCCTGCAGTGTAGACGGAGCCTGTAGGTTTTAGCCCTCAGAAGGAGAGCAGAGCCTGCAGCTGCCCAGACCAGACCGTTCTGTTTGTGAAGTTCCTCACACAATGGGATCCCTGCTCACAACAAATACAATATAAATAATAATATTAAGATGTTTCAATTCAAAGCAGCAGCTGTTGAAGTTCAGGGCTTTTAAAAAAAAAACAAAAAACGCCTGCCTAAAATAAAAACAGAGGCGGAGGCAAGTTTTGGAAACTTTCCTCTGGAGTGTTCTCTTCTTCACAACTACCAAAATGGGACGCCATTGCCCCGGGCAGAACAGGGCCTAATGGGGTTGTGGCCATGAAGCGGTACCGCAACGGAAAGGGTGAATGGTTAGGCCAATATGTTCTACAAGCAATTAAGATATGAGGAGACCTCCCCGACAGTTCATCTTCCAGCTGTTGCCAGTCGTCTCTTTCAGCCCTAGGAAAATGCAACCCACTTTCCATTATTATTTCGCTGTAGATACTGCCAAACCCTCAGAGGAGAAAGCCTCTCTTCATCCATGCCCAGCAAGGCAAAGAGGGGAATGGCTATCCACCCCTTCCACAGACACGCCCCCCGCCTTGCCCCGGGATACACAGATCCAGAATCATTCCAAACCTTTTCTGCACGCAGGTCTCTAACGTGACTCAACATAACAGCGACGAATCATTTTCCTTTCAGTTATGTTCAAAGTCCTTCCTACTGCAAATGCCTTCGCTGATCTAAGGGCACGTCTTCATAGGCCGTGCTGGAGATCGACGTGCTGTTGTTCGATTTATCAGGTCTAGGATAGACCCGTAAATCGAACGCTGAGGGCGGCTGCCTGTACTCATTGCAGTCGGCCCTTTCCGTAGCTGGAGTCGGCTTCCCTTTTCGACATATGCTACACAGCTGGAGTGGCGTACCTTCAGCCGGCCTGCCATGGTGTAGACCTGGCCTAAGCTATGAAACCCGCTTTTCCACGTGGGTTTCACTATTCCTTACTAAGGGAAGCACAAAGTCCTGACCAGCGTTTTCAGACTGGAGACTGCTGCTCAGTGATCTGGACTCGCTCGCCTTTCTCAACAGAGGTGCTCCCACAGGACTTTGGGGGAGTTTAAACCCCTCTAAGATTAGTTTTCCTTCACCAAGCATCTAGATCATCAGTTTTTAAACTGTGGGGCAGGACCCCAAAGTGCATTGTGACCCCATGCGTCGCTGGGGTCCAGGGCTGAAACCCAATCCCCACTGCCCGGGGCCAAAGCCGGGCGGCAGGGGTCAGGTTACAGGCCCTCTGCTGCTGGCTCCCTGCACAGAGCAGGAGGAATCAAACAGGGTCAGGCTTCGGTCCCCACTCCAGGGGTTGTGGGGTCATTTTTGACGACTAAAGGGGATCTTGGTGCAATGAAGTTAGAGAATCTCGGAAAAATCATGGAGGGGATCCTCAAGGAATCCATTTTGAAGCACCTAGAAGAGGGGAAAGCGATCAGGAACGGTCAGCATGGATTCATGAAGGGCAAGCGATGCCTGACCAATCGGATTAGCTTCTATGAGGAGGTAACTGGCTCTGTGAACATGGGGAAGTCATATACCTTGTTTTTGATACGGTCTCCCACAATATTCTTGCCAGCAAGTTAAAGAAGTACGGATTGGAGAAATGGACGGTAAGGTGGATAGAAAGCTGGCTAGATTGTCGGGCCCAACGGGTACTGATCAACGGCTCAGTGTCAGGTTGGCGCTCGGTTTCTAGCGGAGTGCCCCAAGGATCGGTTCTAGGGCCGGTTTTATTCAACATCTTTATCAATGACCTGGATGAGGGGATGGATTACACCCTCAGCAAGTCGGCAGGTGACACTAAGCTGGGGGAGAGGTAAGGACAGGGTCCAGAGCGACCTAGACAAATTAGAGGATTGGATGAGAGGAAAGTGACGAGTGAGGGGGGATTTGAGAGCAGCCTTCAACTTCCTGAAGGGGGTTCCAAAGAGGATGGAGAGAGGCTGTTCTCAGTGGTGACAGATGGCAGAACAAGGAGCAATGGGCTCAAGTCGCAGTGGGGGAGGTCCAGGTTGGATATTGAAAATCTATTTCCCTAGGCGGGTGGGGAAGCGCTGGGCTGAGTTCCCTAGGGAGGGGGTGGAATCTCCATCCCTAGGGGTTTTTAAGTCTCGGCTTGACAAAGCCCTGGCTGAGTTGATTGAGTTGGATTGGTCCTGCCTTGGGGAGGGGGCTGGACTCAATGACTCCTGAGGTCTCTTCCTGCCCTAGGATTCTATGAACCCCCCATCTAGCTCTTAGAGTCCTGTGTTGGTTTCACCATGGGAATTCTACCCCCAAATGTTCAGTTATACCTGACCCTTCATTACAGAGGCATTTGCTCTTGCAGGTTAGGTACAGGAGCCCCTGGCAGCTCTTACCACATTTAAAAAGCAGAGGCGCAGTGTCCAGGACCTGACGCGAGCCAAGACTGCTCGGTCCTGGTTCACACCAGGTTCCCCGCTGTGCTTCTGCCTCTCCTGCCCTCCAGGGAGCCAGTGCTGGGGGGAAAACGGGGTTTAAGCTGGCTCTCCCCAGCACCGGCTCCTGCTTCCCCTCTTGCTGCTTCCGAGGGGGGAGGGAGTAGTCCCTTCCTGGCAGCCCCCTCCTACACACTGAACCCATTTTGGCCTTATCCCAGAGCCTGGTGCTCCCCAAAATCTACTGTCCCAGGACCCCGAGGATCTGGGTTCTAGGGGAATATAAACAGTGTCATTCTGCTTCTCAATCTGGGACCAGGTCAGCGAGGTGGCTGGTTTTGGGTTTTTTTGCTTCTCACTTTTGTGCAGCCCCCGACTGATTTTTCTGAGAGTCAGTAGCCTCCGATCCGAAAAAGGTTCCCCACCCCTGGACTACAGCGACCCACCCTGGTCTGTACCTGGCACTCTGTTGTATTGCGTTCACCAGAAAGTACTGCAACGGAAACATGTGCTTCACGGGCTCTCTCAGCTTTCCCAGAACACTAAAATAACGTTGCGTCCCACTTTGCACTGTGCATAGCGAGCCCTGGAGTTTGGACCCGAAGACACATGATGTGGCTTTGTGACGATAACACTAAGCCAAATAATAATCCATGTTTCATAGTGAAGATAGGGAGACACACATGATGTCGCCACATTTCAAACAAAGTGTGGCGGGGGGAGTCCGTTATTTTTTGTCAAGGTCCACATTTTTTGGTCAAGGCATAGTCAAGGCCCATCAGCTAACAATAAGCAAACAAAAGGGTTTTGCAATCCGTTCCAAAGCAGCTGTTGGTCCAGTTTTGGCCCATTGTCTGCCCCAGAGGTTACACGATCTCGGTGCCCCTAAACAGTGAGCCCAGTTGTAATTCAAAGGTATTTATGCAGCATCAACCCTTGTTATCTAGGCGTATTTTGCCCTGCAAGCCAAGCACAACTCTTTAGGTGCCTTCCCTGGATCATTTTTCTTGCCACATGACACCAGTTGCAGAACAGACAAATATTTTCTATTAGCCTTGGAAGGTGTTTCCTAGTAGCAGAAGCCTGTTCACTGAGCAGAGGCATCAAATGGAACCTCGACAAGAGCAAACGGTGCTCTACTCCTATCACAGCACTTAAAAAAAAAACCCAGGGGACGTATGATTGGGAGAACATAAGAACGGCCGTACTGGGTCAGACCAAAGGTCCATCTAGCCCAGTATCCTGTCTGCCCACAGTGGCCAGCACCAGGTGTCCCAGAGAGGGTGGACCGAAGACAATGATCAAGCGATTTGTCTCCTGCCATCCCTCTCCAGCCTCTGACAGAGACCAAGGACACCATTTCTATCCCCTGGCTAATAGCCTTTTATGGACCTACCCT